TCTCAATAAGATACTTGCGGACTGAACTCAAGACAACATCAAAAAGAGTATCCACCATGATAAAGTTGGCTTCATCCCACAGATGCAGGGATGGTTCAACATATAGAAATCAATAAACTTAATCCACTACGTAAAAAACTGAAATATGAAAAAAATCATCGTCTCTTTGAATTTTGTCAAAGGCCCTTTTTGCATTTAAAGTCAATTCAGATTAAAAGTCCTGGAGAGTATAGAGATACAAGGACATATCCCAACATAATAAAGGCAAGTCAATAGCCAGCATCGTGCTGAGTGGAGAGAAACTCAAAGCATTTACCAATCAGAAACAAGATAAGGATGTTCACTGTCTCCCCATCTAATCTAAGCTAGAGCAATAAGACAATTGAAGGAGATCAAGGGATACAGTAGGAAAGGAAGAATTCAGAGTATCCTTTTGCAGGTGGTATGAATTTATATGTAAAAGACCCTAATGATTCTGCCAGGGGACTTTTACAGCTTCAGTAAAGTAGCAGGATACAAAATTAACACATAAGCATCAGTAGCCTTCCTGTATACAGATGACAAATACAATAAGGAAAGAAATCAGGGAAACCATACCTTTCACAGTAGCCTCGAAAAGATTTTGGGATTGCTCCAATTTAGCAAGTGAAAAACTTGTATAATAATAAGAACTTTAAGATGTTGAAGGTAAAAACTTAAAGACACCAAAAAATTGAAAGATCTCCCATGTTTGTGATGCAAGATTAATATCGTAAAAATGACCATCCTACAAAAAAAGTAATCTACAGAGTCAGCAAGATCTCCACCAAAATTCCAACACAATTATTAACAGAAATTAGAAAAACCTTCTTCAATAGGGGAATACAAAGTCAAAATCAAAAACAAAAAAACCCACAGGAGAGCTAAATCAGTCCTAAAAAGAAACAAAAGCAAAACTTCTGGAGGCATCAGCCTCTTAGATTTCAGGTTATATTTCAGAGCTATAGTAATATATCGCATATAAATAAATCACACATGTTGATCAGTGGAATAAATTGAAGACCTAGACATAATTCTACATACCTACAGACACCTGATATTTTGGCAAAGAAGTCATAGATACACAGTGGAGAAAATGTACCATCTTCTACCAACTTGCAGGTGAAACTGGTCAGTTTTGCATATTGAGTAATGTTAGTGAGTCCACATTTATTAACTTGTATAAAAATCGACTCCATATGGGTCAAGGACCCCAACCTAAGACCAGATACACTGAACCTGATGAAATACAAAGTGGGGAATAGGAATAGGCTTGAACTCATTGAACGGGAAAAGACTTTCTGAACGGAAACCAATAGCAGTCACTATGACTAACAGTTAAAAAATAGGACCCTATGGGGCTAAAAACCTTCCGGACAACAAAAAACACCATCATTTAAAGAAGCAGCCTACAGAATAAGAAAAATTTACCAATTACACATCTGATAAAAGATTAGTGTAAAGAATATATAAAGAACTGAAACAAATTGAATATCAAGAAAACAACCCCCCAAAAAAGACTAAACAGAGAGTTCCCAAAGGTTAGACACAAACAGTTAAAGAAATAGTCAGTAATGCTATAGGATAGGGTCGTTTCAGGTTCCCTATCCTCAGCTGCCCAAGGAACTAACTGGGGGACATCGCCTTGGGCTCCTGGGAGCCACTCTAGGTTCAAGTCTCTTGCCAACCCCAAGGTGGCTCCCTTAACTAAGAATTGTGCTTCCGTGCTCCTCTATCCAACCTTCCTTTATCCCAATCATCCTTTTCCCCCAAGTTCCCCCATCCTCCCCTTCTCCCTTTTCTCTCCCCATCTCCCCTTACCCCCATCCCACCCCACCACCAAGATCCCAATTTTCTCCCTGGCAATTTTGCCTACTTCCCATAGCCAAGAGGATAACTATATGTTTTTCCTTGGGTTCACCTTCTTACTCAGCTTCTTTAGGTTCACCAATTGTAGACTCCGTGACCCTTATTTATGGCTAGAAACCAATTATGAGTGAGTACATCCCATGTTCATCTTTTTGAAACACTCAGTATAGTGTTTTCTATTTCCATCCATTTGCATGCAAAATTCGAGAAGTCATTGTTTTTTACCGCAGCGTAGTACTCTAATGTGTAGATATTCCACACTTTCTTCATCCATTCTTCCATTGAAGGGCATCTAGGTTGTTTCCAGGTTCTGGCTATTACAAATAATACTGCTATGAACATAGTTGAACAAATGCTCTTGTCATATGATAGGGCATCTCTTGGGTATATTCCCAGGAGTGGTATTGCTGGGTCCAGGGGTAGGTTGATCCCGGATTTCCTGAGAAACCGAAACACAGATTTCCAAAGTGGTTGCACAAGATTGCATTCCCACCAGCAATGGATGAGGGTACCCCTTCCTCCACAGCCTCTCCAGCAAAGGCTATCATTGGTGTTTTTTATTTTAGCCATTCTAACAGGTGTAAGATGATATCTCAAAGTTGTTTTGATTTGCATTTCCCTGATCGCTAAGGAGGTTGAGCATGACCTTAAGTGTCTTTTGGCCATTTGAACTTCCTCTGCTCAGAATTCTCTGTTCAGTTCAGTGCCCTCATCTGGTGATGGATGGAGATAGAGACAGAGACCCACACTGGAGCACTGGACTGAGCTCCCAAGGTCCCAATGAGGAGCAGAAGGAGGGAGAACATGAGCAAAGAAGTCGGGACCACGAGAGGTGCACCCACCCACTGAGACAGTGGGACTGATCTATTGGGAGCTCACCAAGGCCAGCTGGACTGTGACTGAAAAAGCATGGGATAAAACCGGACTCCCTGAACATGGCGAACAATGAGGACTGATGAGAAGCCAAGGACAATGGCACGGGGTTTTGATCCTACTTAATGTGCTGGCTTTGTGGGAGCCTAGCCAGTTTGGATGTTCACCTTCCTAGATATGGACGGAGGGGGGAGGACCTTGGACTTTCCACAGGGCAGGGAACCCTGACTGCTCTTTGGACTGGAGAGGGAGGGGGAGAGGAGTGGGGGGAGGGGGAGAAGGGTGGGAGGAGAGGGAGGAGAGTGGGAGGAGGGGGAGGGAAATGGGAGGTTGGGAGGAGGTGGAAACTTGTTTTTTCTCCTTTTCTCAATAAAAAAAAAAAAGAAATAGTCAATATCCTCAGCCATCAGGGAAATTAAGATAAAAACACTTTGAGATTCTTGTCTTACCCCAGTCAGAATGGCAAGGTCAATAACAGGAAAAAAAAGAAACAGTATATGCTCATGTAGTTGAGGAGCAAGGGGAAAGTTTACCCATTGTTGGTGTGAATGCAAACTGAGACATCCACTATGGAAATCAGTGTGGAGGTTCCTCAGAAAGCTGAGAATTGATCTGATCATTGCAAGATCCAGCTAGAAAACTTCTGGAAATATACCCAAAGGAGTCTACATCTTTTTATGGAGGTACATGCTCATCCAGGCTGATTGTTGCTCTAGTCATAATAGCCTGAACTTGGACTCAGTCAATCAGCTGAATGGATGATGAAAACGCGGCACATTTACACAATGCAATGTTATTCAGCTGATAAGGAACATACAATTATAAATTTTCAGGAAAATGGATGGACCTAGAAACAGTCATCCTGAGTAAGGTAACCTAAATCCAGTAAAACAAACTTTGTATGTTTATCTCTTGTGAATATTAGCTTGTAAGCTTTAGATGTGTGTGGTTTTGACACAAATATCACAAAGTATTTAAGTAGCTAGTAAGGGACCTAAGGGGAGGAATCCACCTTCCAAGAAGGGGAAATAAAGTAAGGATTTGTTAAGAGATGAAAGGGAAATTAGAATAAAAGGATTAAATGGGGAGGGGGATGGTCACAATGTCATACCTCTAGCTATGGAGCTACTGGCAGTTAATAGCTGCCAGGAGAGGAAGAGTCGGTCTTCTTAAAGCTATGGTCCTTGGTAGGTTGACCATGATGCAGTGGAAAGCCACATATCAAAAGTATATGAGCAACACAATCTTGTACTTGATGTTTTGTTTTGTTTTTTCAAAACGGATACAAAGAAAGTTAGGAGTTGAACCTGGGAGGAGTTAGAGAAGATGGACCAATATGATCAAAATACATTGTATGATGTCCTCCAAAAACTAATAAAAAATGAGAAAATGAGTTGGTGAGATGGCTTAGCAGTTAAGAGCACTTGCTGCTCTTGCAGACGACCCGAGTTTGGTTCCCAGCACCCCGGTCAGGTGGCCCACAGCTGCGTACAGCTTCATCTCCAGGGCAGCTGATGCCCTCTCCTGGCTTCTGAGAGCACCTTCATATATATGTGGCATATCCCTGCCACACACACACCTTTGAAAATCTACTTTTTTAAAGGAGACAAACAAAGAAAATGCAGGAAGTTGAGAACCACCCCCAAATCTTCAGAGCCATAGTTAGCCAGCAGCTTCAGAAAATTCAGGGCATTTTAAAGCCCTCTAGCAGAGGAAGTGGCTTAAGACAGTCTTTGTTCACTGCCCCATCTCAGCACATACAGCCTAAACAGACAAGGCAGGTACTCAGTCGGTATATCATCCCTTAGTCTCCTTGCCTTCATGTGACTAACAGGTGAGCATCTCCAGGACACCAGACCAGGTGTGCCTCAAACCACCCACAATTTTATGAAGATGCTGGCTTCATTTTGCCTGTACCCTACTCTTTCCTCAGAGCTGCACACTGTGCCAAGAAATGCCAAGCCACTGAGAAAGCTAAGGGTCAGCGTAGCAGCCGTAGAAAGCCTTCCTTGCCTCCTGTAGCTTTGGGTGACACCGAGAAACTTTTGCAAGGAAACCCACGGCAGGCATCCCTACTTTCTTGTACAAACTCATGGTGGGAGCCACGTATGAAAGATGGAACCCTGTAAACACATCATTCTCTAAGTGAGAACTTGGGCCAAGGGCTCAGAGGTAGAGAGGAGAATGCAGGGTGGCTGATGTTTAAGTAATGACGTTCCTTCTCCGTTTTTTTCATCTAGCTCAACGACTCCGCCAAGCAACTCATTGAGATGGACAAGCTGTGCCCTGCCGCTGCCGCCACTGCATGCAACCATGACGCCCTCCTGCCCTCCGACCCCAGCACATTAGCCAGCGTGGCCTCAGGTCCCACCCTAAGTAGCTCAGGGGCAGTCAGTGCCTTTCAACGACGTGTGGACAGCAAGAAGAATGCCAAGAAGCGCCACTCCTTCACTGCGCTCAGTGTGACCCACAAGTCCTCCCAGGCGGCCAGCCACAGGCACTCCATGGAAATAAGCGCTCCGGTGCTGATCAGCTCCAGTGATCCACGTGCTGCAGCCAGGATTGGGGAGCTGGCCCATCTGTCCTGCACCGTCCCCTCCCAGGTAATCCCCAGGGCCCAGAGCTCTGTCCGTGATTTCCAGGGGTCCTGTTCCACCTCCTGGATTCCTGAACTATCCTAAAGGAAGCAACGCCAGAATGGCTGTGGGTGACTGGGGCCTCCCCTCGTGGCCAACCGCTTGGAATCAAGAGCCCTGTAAATATGTGTGTGTTGGCTCCTGGGTTGTGAGGTAATCGCCAGCGGTTCCAGGATACATCGCTGGAGTAGCATTCCGTTGTCTAGGAAACCCCTCACTCTCTGATACTCAGCATGCTTGCTCAGGGAGGAGTCTTGGGTGGGGGACGTTCTGAGGAGCACTATGAGCTGAGAACCAGAATTAGCTGCACGACTTAGTCCTTTCCTGCTGTTATTGCTATAGTTCCTTCTATTTCTAAATGTCACTTGTATTACATTTCCACTAGTCTGTTTGTAGACTTCAGTAGCCAAAGTAAGATGCGTAAAGAACACAGAGTAATAACTACCTGCAACTCCGAGAAACCTGTCCACCTGGGAAAGTGTCTCCTTCATGAAGGCCAGGAAGGGAGGAGGAGGGTCCCTCGTGTGTCATTAAGTTTCCACTGAGACCGAAGAGAAGGGAATGTGCCTCCTGGAGGTGTGGGCCACTGTCCTCCCAGCTCAGCATACTCCAGGACAAGGCCCCTGTGCACAGTTAGAGTGGGGGAGGGCCAGCTCCTGCCCACTCCACACCTCCTTACCCCAAGGTCCATCTGCCAGCCCTGCTTTACTTTCTCTCCAGGGTCACCTCTGGACGTGCTTCCAAGGAATGGTACCAGTCAGTATATAGGCTAGACTGAGGAAAAGAACCAATAAGTATCTGGCTTTATTTTCCAAAGTTCCAGTTGACTTGGCTAGATTTATATGGAGAATCATCCTTTAAAATGGCCTGGAGAGATGGCTCAGCAGTGAGATCACTCGCTGCTCTTGCGGAGGACCCAGGTTCAGTTCCCAACACCCACATGGCGCTTCACAGTGATCTGTAGCTCCAGTTCCAGGGGATCCAGTGTCTTCTTCCGACCTCCATGGGCACCAGATAAACACATAATGCACATACATACATGCAGGCCAAACAGTAGAACACATAAAATGAAATAAAACATCATTTTCTTGAGGCAGAATTTCACTATGTAGCTCTGGCTGACCTGGAACTCACTATGTAGACTAGACTGACTTTGAACTTGTAGAGATCCACCTGCCTCTTCCTCCCATGTTAAAGATATGAGCCACCACAGTTGGCTTTCAATAGATCTTAACAAATAAAATTTAAACACCGAACTTTAGGAGAATTGTAGTTTTGGTAGCTATGCTACATCAGCTCAAAACTGCAACTGTACATCATATGTGTTATATACATTTGCACACCTGTATATGCATGTCCACGCCACATACTTACAAACCTACCCCCCCCCCCACACACACAAACGCCCCTGCACTTTTCCCAGCATAAACACCGATGTGCATGACCATGATCTGCAGCGGACACTATGGTGTCTGTAGTGTTTGCTGACCATGGCTTACGTCCTTCTTGGACCCACCCATTTTGCTCAGGAAACAAACAGTGCTTAGGCCTGGTTCTGGTTTTGTTTTCTGATGCTGTGATCAACGCCGTAACAAAAGCAACATGGGGAAAGAAAAGCTTTGTTTGGTTTCTGCTTCTGGGTCACAGCCCATTGTAGAGGGAAATCAGGGCAGAAGCACAAGCAGGAACTGACGGAGGAATTATGAAGGAACTCTGCTTACTAACTTGTTCACTGGCTCTCTCTCTCCAGCTCATTCCCCAGTTTAGGCTCAGCCATCTTCTTATAGAGCCCAGGCCCAGCCACCTAGGGATGGTACTGCCCACAGAGGGCTAGGTCCTCCCACCTCAGTCATTAGTAAGACAATCTCTTATGGACATAGCCACAGGCAGTCTGATCAAGGTAATTTTTCCACTGAGAATCCTCCTTCCCATGTGATTCTAGGTTGTGTCAGGTTGACAATAAAAAATAAATTAATTGATTACAAAAACAGCACAGGGCTATCGGCACATTTATGATAAAAGAGGTGATGTTACCTGGCCTGACCCTTGGCCCCACCCTCCTTCATTAAATAATCTCTTCAGGCTGTTGATAAGTGTTTGGTATTTTTAAGTTTCTATGAGGGGCATAGCAACTGGTAGCAGCCATCTCTGCTCCCCAAACAATTGTGTGCCAACACAGACATCATGAATAGAGAGGAAAGGACAACTTGCTGCTTCGGACTCTACAGTCTACACTAGGATGCTCAGCTTTGACCTACAGCACCCGAACTTTGCCCACCCCACCCCTCGCAGCCCTGTGTATCTGTTCAGACTGTAACTCAGGTCACCTTAGACTTGGTTCTTGGGTCCTGGGAGGATGGGGAAGGGAGAGGACAGGGTTATCAAATGGGATCCGCACTGAGTCACAGGTATGTTTCACCCTCTCCTGCCTCCAGGACATGGCCATGAGCTGTTAGGTTCAGCAGTTCTTTAGAATCATGGTTTCTTCCAAAAATGGGCATGGGTATTGATGCTGATAAAATCTGATCCGCCTCTGACCCCTGGACTGGAGTCCATAGGACAGGCCACACGGGCTTTCTGCTCTGGAAACAAGCAGCTAGTGAACGTCTTGTATATGAAGCAATGTAGTTCATAAAATTCAGCTTGCCCTTCCATGAGAGGACAGCGCCTGTCACTCCCTGCTCACCATGAGCGCCGGGTCCATCTGATGGCTGTGGAGAGGGCGCAGCTGTGAAATGGCTAGCCTAGGACTCCAGAGCACAGGTTCAGACAGAAGCTCAGATGGCCGTACCCTGAAGAATTCTTCCTGCCCTCGGTAGAGGTCAGAGGACTGCTGAGCAGTGTGAATAATGGAGTCATGTGTCAGCTTCTGCTGGGGGCAGAAGTCTGTCAGCCAAACTATTGAGGTAGAAAGCTATTTAGGCTAACGCCACTATTAAAAGTCCAGATGCTTTCTGAGTGACTGCCATTTCGACTGGGGTGAGATGGAATCTTAATTCATCTTTCATTTGCATTTTGCTGATGGCTAGTGATGTTGCAAGTTTCCTTCGTATGTTTGTTGGCCATTTATATGGTACTTCATCTTTTCAAAACAGCTTGTTCGTCTCATTTTCCTATTTACTGAGTAGGTTATTTGATTTGTTGAAATTTGGTTATTTTTTTAGTTCTTTGTATATTCTAGCCCAGATATTAATCTTGTCAGATTTGTCATTGAAAAAGATTTCCACAAATGCTGGCAAGGATATGGAGAAAATAGAACTCTTATATATGACTGATGGAAATTTAAATTAGCCACTATGGAAGTCAGCATGGAGTCTCCAATAGTAGTAGTAGTAGTAATAATAATAATAATAATTGAAACAAAAACTGTCACATGATCCAGCTATCCTACTTCTGAGTATTTACCAGAATGTATGAAAGAGATTATTGAACATCCATGTTCATTGCTGCACTATTCATAGATAGAACTGGCTTATATGTTCATCAACAGATAAATGAAGACAGTGTGAGATATGTACATATATATATATTGGAATTTTCTCTACAGGAATGAAATTACACCCTTTGCAGGGAAAGGATGCAACTGGAGAGAGTGGTATTAGCAAATTATTTCAGATTCAGATAATATTGCACATTTCATATCATTAGTAGATCCTAGGTTATATATATATGTATATTTATTATATGTGTACATATGTTGTACATATGACAAAAAAGTACAAGTGGACCCATAGGGATGGAAGGGACTAATAAGAAGGATGGGAAACAAAAGGGAGGAGGGGCAGCTACAGGGAGAACATGGTCAAAGTACATAATAGCCTTGCATGAAGATGTCCTTATGAGACCTGGTACTGCACATAATAAATATATAATTAAAAGACTTTCATATGGATAAGACTGGGAAATGGTTAACTCTGTTTCATGCTCTGAGTAGTTCATTACTGGGTGACGTTGTCACTGTGTGAACACGACAAAACACTTATGCAGACCAAGATGGACAGGACAGCCCCGGAGAGGGATGCTCTGCACAATCAAGGGATCTACAAATGGATGTGGTAGCCATGCCTGTAATTCCAGCATGAGGAAAGCTGAAGCAGGAGACTCAGAGAGGCAGCCAGGGTTAGTGAGTTCAGGGCTATCCTCGCGTACGCGACGAGACCCAAACCACCTTTTAAAAGGGCTACCTAGAGAGGTGACTGAGTCAGTAAAACATTTGCCTTGCACTCTTTAGGATCTCAGTTTGGCTCCTCAGTACTACAGCAGTTTGTGATTATTACCCAAGCCGGGTGTAGGCAAAGATAGGTGGCCCTCTGGTGGTCACTGGGCAGCTAGCCCAGCCTACTTGGTGAAGTGCCAGGCCACTCAGAGACCCCCATCTGAAACAAAATGTGGACTACACCTGAGCACCAATGCTCCAGATTGACCTCTGACCTTTATATGCATTTGCACACACGTGTGTCCCTGCACAAGCACAAACAAAACTACTAGAGATGGAGAAGAGGGGAGTGTACGGGGGGTAGGCAGTGAACGTGAGATTCGTGCAGCAACTGCAGGGTAACACAACACATGTTTTGTCATATATTATTTTTTTGTAAATAAAAAAATAAGGAATGCACTCAAAAGTAGTAGTAAAAATTACTTAAGTTAAAAGTAAATAGCGGGTGGGCAGGATGACTCGGCAGATAAAGACGCTTGCTGCCAAACCTGATAGCCCGAGCTTGCTCTCCAGAACCCACATGATAGAAGGAGAGAACCAACTCCCATAAGCTGTCCTCTGACCTCCACATGTGAGACATGAATGTGCATACACATGAATACACACATGTGTGCACATGCATAAGTGAAAATAATTTTTAAAATACATAAACCAACCACATAGTCATGGATTGTCATTGACAAGTGTTATGCACCGTGTGTGTGTGACTTATGTGCCATCCTTTCCCAACACTAGCACCACAGCAGACATG